ATTGTCGGATAAAAATAATTTTGAAAAAAAAGAATACTAGCTTAATGTATTAAGACAATGTGGGCTAACTTACCATGTTAAGCTCATATCTTAGTATTAAAATCACATTCTTTTCCTAATCGAGTAAAAAAAACACCTACAAAACCTTATTTTTCTCCATTTTAAAAGCCATCGATGATGTTCTTAGAGCATAACCGGATTCTCTAATAAAGAAAAAAAAAATGAGGTTTTTGTTTTCTAATTTGCTTCAACATATTTTCTATATTATTTTCTAAAATTAGAGAAAACTATGTGTTTAGAGAATTCTTTAAAACTTAATGTATAGATAGAGAAATTAATCTTTTATTTATTTATCTATTAAAGCATTTGACAAACACTCTTAAAAATCATTTTTTATGTATGAAGTATTGTTAATTAATGCATATTACTTAAAAATCAAGATTACAAGTAAATTGTATATAAGTACAACTTATTAAAACTCAAATTTTAAATCGTGTAATTAACTGTAGATGAATACAGTCACACACAAGATAAACATATTTTTAAATATAAAAATTGTAAAATATAATTAGCATAATTATCGACTACTAACTAAATACTTAATTATTATCTTTATAAAGAATTAGAAGGATACTCGCGCAATGCAGCGAGGTATATCTCGATTTTAATATTTCGTTTTATTCCTTCTATATAGATGTTATAATACGGTTTTTATGTGGTTTTGAGAAAAAAAAATATATAATATTTTTATTTTTGAATAAGATATAAATTTGAAGATATAATAAAATTTCAAAAATAAATATATTAATATTAATATTAATATCAAATTAATTATTTAAAAGTTCTTATTTTTTGTGTAATTTCTTTAATTCAATTGGATCTAATAACGAAGTAATTTCTTTAACTCAATGATTGTCCTAACTATATTTTAGATTTTTTATATTTAAAATGAAATGTTTTATCTTGTATTTGACTATGTTTATCTGCAGTTAGTTACAAGAATTCAAACATGAAGCTTTAATAAGTTGTACTTACGCACAATGTATTTGTAATCTTGAATTTTAAGTAATATGCATCAACAAACAGTACTTCATACATAAAAAATGGTTTTTAAGAGTTTTTGTCAAATGCTTCATAATATAGTATAGATTATATTATTAAATCAAAAATAAATTACTTCATTGTTAAACATAAGTTAAATTATAATAAACATTTAAATAGTTAATTTGATACTAAGATCGATTTTTTTTTCAAAAGTAAAAATATTATTGCTTTCTCAAAACCATGTAAAACCGTATTATATCGACATAGACAAAGAATAAAACAAAATATTAATATCGAAATGAATCTTGTTACATTGTGCGAGTATGCTTCTAGTATCCACCAATGAAATTGAATTATTATTTTATTTTATATAAACTTTTTTGATAAGAATTGAGATGAAAAATTTATAGGATATTTTAATAATATAATATAGGATGAAATCTTTAAAAATAGATAATTTTTTAAAGTTAAATGTATTTGTTTTAAAGATTTTTTACTTTTTGATCTCTAAAAATTTATAAAGAATTTGTTAAAAGATAATATTTTGATTAAAGTATATATGCATAAAAATTATTTTAAAATTCAAATGTTATAATAGTATCTATACTATATTATAAAGCATTTGATAAAAAACTCTTAAAAACAATTTTTTATGCATGAAGTAATGTTTGTTGATGCATATTACTTAATATACAATATTACAAGTAATTTTGCGTACGTACAACTTATTAAAGCTCTATTTTTATATTTGTGTAAGTAACTGCAAATAAATATAATCAAATACGGGATAAACATCCATTTTAAACATAGAACATATAAAATATAATTAAGATAATCATTAAGTTCTAACAAAATGTTTAATATTATCTTTATAAAAAATTATGCTATTAAATCAAAAATAAATTACTTTGTTATTAAATTTAAATTAAATTATAATAAAAAATTAAATTTTAAAAGTTACTCAAAAAAAAAGGAAACTATTAAATAGTTAATTTGATACTAATATCAATTTATTTTTTTCAAAATTTTATTCTAACTTCAAATTTATATTTCATTTAAAAATAAAAACATTATCGTTTTCTCAAAACTACATAAAATCGTATTATATCGATAAAAACAGAATAAAAACTAAATATTAAAATATAAATTTATTTTACTGTATTATGCAAGTACCTTTTTAGTTTATTTAAAAATAAATAAGAGGAGCTGGTGATGACAACAAAAATCCAAAGTTTGAATTTGAAAGGAGCATGTCATATGATGGATAAAAAGAGTGATTCTATTTAAAGACATATTTAAATGTTATTTGAACATCTATTTATCATTAATTATTATTTTTTGTTTTTTTTTAATTTTCTTCTAATAAGTACTAGATTGATACCATTATTTTTTATTAGTAAAGAATTATTATTATTATTATCTATATTATATTATAAAGCATTTGACATAAAATTTTAAAAACTATTTTTTATGCATGAAATACTGTATAATGATGATGCATATTACTTAAAATTCAAGATCACAAGTAAATTATGCACAATTACAACTTATTAAAGCTCCATATTTGAATTTGCGTAATTAACTGTAGATAAACATAATCAAATAGAGGATAAACATCTCATTTTAAAATATAATTAGAATAATTATCGAATTCTAACAAAATAATTAATTATTATTATAAGAAAATTATATTATTAAATCAAATATAAATTACTTCGTTATTGAACTTGAATTAAATTATAATAAAAAATTTGAATTAAAAATAACACAAAAAATGAGGATTTTAAATAGTTAATTTGATACTAATATCGGTATATTTTTGTCAAATTTTTATGATATCTTCAAATTTATATTTTATTAAAAAATAAAAACATCATCGTTTTTTCAAAATCTTATAAAACCATATTATAACATCGACTGAGATAAAGAATAAAATAAAATATTAAAATCAAGATGTATCTCGCTGTATTGCGCGAATACTCTTTTAGTTATTAAAATAAGCTTGCTTAATTATTATTAAAAACTAAACACTTAATAAATAAAATTACATTTATTAAATACTACAAATTTGATAATTTCATTTCTAAAACTACATAATATAATAAACAATTAAGAGAAAGTTTTAAATATGTTTTTTAATAAAAAATAATTTTAATATGTAATTGTAAATTCATAATTTTATAAAACTCCCACCATTATAAAGCTTCGTTTTATTTTCCCTCAAAACTGATCTTTTTAAAAGTTTAACATTCTGTTAACTAATAATAGTAAATAATATCAGTAAATTGTTCATTAAGTTTTATATATTTTATTAGTATACAAAGTTATTTTTGAAATTTAAATAATAAACAAATTAGAATTATCATTTAATTTGCTTTGAAATGTAATATTTATTAATTAAAAATTATCATTTTAATTTTAACGGTATTTATTATTATAAGAAAATAATTGGATAATATAATTATTATGGTTTAATAAAATAGTACAAAAATAAATGAATAATTATTTATTATTATTATAATGTTAAAGATGCTTTTCAATATTATTTTTTATTGTGTGATTGGAGTTGATTTTTTTAATGTTCAATGGACTCGCCATTTTTATTGATTTTAGTGTTTTTGGTGTTTTATTTTTAACGTTCGGTTGGAGATATTCTAATGGAGGTATAAAAACCTATTTTTCATGTCATATCATTTCTAACTCATTAAATTAATTAAGAACTCAAATAATATATATATATATATATATTATAGAAATGCTAACATATAAATTAGAAATGTTATGATATTGTAATTTTAGTCTATTCACAAAAAATATATATAATTAAAATACAAAAAAAGGTTGTTAAAATATATAAATATATGTCAATTTTAACTTATAAATACATGTCATTATTTAAAAACTAGAAGCGTATTTGCGCAATGCAGCGAGATACATCTTGATTTTAATATTTTATTTTATTATTTATCTCAGTCGATGTTATAGTATGGTCTTATGTGATTTTGAAAACGCGATGATGTTTTTATTTTTGAATAAAATATAAAATTGAAGATATCATAAACATTTGATAAAAATATGTCGATATTAGTATCAAATAAACTATTTAAAATTCCTCATTTTTTGTGTAATTTTTTAATTCAACTTTTTTATTATAATCTAATTTAGGTACAATAACGAAGTAATTTATATTTGGTTTAATAATATAATTTTCTTATAAAGATAATAATTAATTATTTTGTTAGAAATCGATAATTATCTTAATTATATTTTAGATTTTTTATATTTTAAAATGAGATGTTTATTCTTTATTTGATTATATTTATTCATCGTTGATTATACGAATTCAAACATTTAGCTTTAAAAAGTTGTACTTATGCATAATTTACTTATAATTTTGAATTTTAAGTAATATGCATCAATATACAGTATTTCATGCATAAAAAATGGTTTTTAAGAATTTTTATCAAATTCTTTATAATATAATATAGATAAGTTAAAAAATTAAATAGTTATGTACAAAAATATGATGATAAAAGTAGAAAAACGAAGAGGAAATAGAAAATAATTAATATAATATTAAAGAATAATGATAATGTGAGATGAAAGAGAGAGAAAAAATGATATATATATATATATATATATATCGGATAAAAATCACATTTCCTAAAATTTTGTATCTGATTCATGTCCACTAATCACATGAATACAAGATCAAGAGGATATGAATTTAAATAAATTAAAATTTATTTTTAATTTATTAATCAGAAAGATTTTTATCTGCCAAATGAAAGGGAAACAATGGCGTTTATTGGGTATACACGTAAAACCACGTCAGATACAGCTTCATCTCACATGGAGTCTTCATCTTCATCTTCTTCTCTTGTCTCTCACATGCAATCTCTCTCTCTCTCTCTCTCTCTCTCTCTATATATATATATCTCAATTTATATATATCGCCACCCTGATCATTGCCTCTTCGCCATAAATATCTCCGATTTCTTTGCCCATATTGGGCCAATCCATACATATACCTATCTTCCCTTTTCGTCCCCTTTTCGTTCCTGCTCTGTTTTTCCCTCAAGTTATGGCGATCACGGAGCATAGGGACATTGAGAAGGGAGATAACAAAGGGCTTGAAGATTTGGTGGAGCCGCTTGTCGAAAATAAGTCCAAAAATGTCGATATTTCTGAACATCAAAATGATTCGATTACGATGGTTCTTCTCAGCACTGCTGTTGCCGTCTGTGGGTCTCTCGAATTCGGAACCTGTGTAAGTTAATAACCATTTGTTCTATTCGAAGTTCGATTTGGAGAATGAGGTTTTTGTTATCGCTGATTTTGAAATTATTTTTGCAGGTCGGATATACCGCTCCAACTCAATCTGCCATCGTCTCTGATTTGAATCTATCGGTTGCTGAGGTTGATCATCGATTATTTCAGCTAGTTTTTACGATTGTATATATATATATATATATATATATATATAAATCCCTTGAATGTGTGTATATATATATATGCCGTTGGATTTTGCAGTATTCCCTTTTTGGGTCAATAGTAACCATTGGTGCCATGATTGGAGCTGTCACGAGTGGCAGAATTGCAGACACGATTGGTCGAAAAGGGGTATGAGGCTTGTCCTGCTTTATGGTTTATTGCTTTTATTGATTTGTGATATGAAACAAAAAGAGAACTGAAAATGTATATAAGATTGTGGGTTTGGCACAACACTCCAAAATACATGTGCTACCAAACCATATGGGATTCTATACTAATTTGGCTGAAAATTTTCTATAAATTCATGTTCATATGTTCTTGAGCCAAGTCATGGAGGTTGGAAATTCAACAAATGGATGTGTTTTTCTGACCATTTTCTTCTATAAAAACAGAAAATTAGAGAAAACAGTAAAGAATTGGCTTTGTGAACAGTAAATCCTTTGTACAAAAATATAAAATTAAGCAACATTATAATAACCATTTATCTATACTTTATGCACATGTACATACAATTAATTTGTCCGGTATGCACATGTATATACTAGTAATTTGTCCGGTATGTATATATGTATAGGAACCAAGAAACATTTTCAATTACTTGTATATAAATATACATATCGTACAAATAAATGATTAATTATTAGAGTATTTTTCAGTTTTTTATTTAGTTGGGTTTTCCATAATCTTGGTCTAGGTGTCTGTAATCTGTATGTATATATAAGTGTATAAATATAATATGTGCATATGAGTTATGACAATGATAAACATGTGGGGTCGTATTGTACAACAATATCTGCATGAAATACTGTCTGCAACATGCAGATGCATGCTTCCTGCTTATTTCTCAGGGATTTATTCATCTGTTGCCTAAACATTATGCTTATTATTTTGATGATGAAAACAGGCCATGGGTTTATCTGCAGTGTTCTGCATAGCAGGATGGCTTGCAATCTTCTTTGCCATGGTAATTTAATTACACTTTTGGTGTTATTATATATAATATATATATAATATAGAGCGAGCGATTCGAATCATGGTGTTTATCAGTTAGTTTTTGTTTCTACGACGTTAAATTCAGGGAGCTTATTCACTCGATACGGGTCGATTCTTCACTGGATACGGCATAGGAATCTTCTCTTATGTGGTAAATTGCCAAAAGACTGTTCAAATTTGATGAATTATATGCTTCACAATGTGCACAAATGTTTAAAGTGGCATTGATGAATAGGTTCCGATATATATCGCGGAAATATCACCAAAAGATCTCCGTGGAGGGCTCACCACCCTCAATCAGGTTCGAACAATCGCTACAACGCTTAAATATTCCTACTTTTCGCATCTTTTTCGCCAAGACAGAGATGGGTAACTTGCGAAATTTCATTTTCTTTGAATTCTTGCAGCTCATGATCGTGACTGGTTCATCGATATCGTTTTTGTTGGGAACAATTGTTTCATGGAGAATTTTAGCTTTAGTTGGTATGTAGAGAAACATTAAATATTTTAGAAATCCAGGAATCATAAGTTTTGTGAGTATTCATGATGAATAACATGATAAAATATTCATGATGAATGTCTGACGGATATTCATGATGAATGTCGTGAATACTCACAAAATAGGTGGTTCTTAGGTTCCTAAATGAACCTGTCACACAAGAATTGAAAAGCAAACAATTCTTTGGTGCCAAACGAACCAAAAACTTACCGGTTGAACGATTTGTAGGACTCATTCCGCCCGTTTTTCTGCTCGTTGGCCTACTGTTTATTCCAGAGTCTCCTAGATGGCTGGTGAGTAATGACAACTTCGAAAAACCAAGTTTTTAGCGTAAATGATTGTAACGTTATATGGATATCATTATTTCAGGCGAAGGTAGGACTCGAACTAGAATTCAACCATTCTTTACGCAAGCTTCGTGGTAAAAAAGCAAATATTTCCGCTGAAGCTGATGAGATACATGTATAGTAATAACTTTTCGACTAGTTCTTTTTACAAGATTGTTGATCATTAGCCATTTCTTGCACAAAATTTTGTCACCAGCAGTTGCCCACATTTTAAATGCACGATTGAAGCGCCATTTTGGGCGATTCGTGACCAAGTTTTGTCCACGAAGGCCGTTGATATGTTTTCCGCTCTATGTTTACAATCGAAAGCAGCTAATCGTCTGTGTGATCTTTTATAGGAAAGTATAGTTGCTCTTCAAAGTCTTCCGAAAGCTAGATTATTGGATTTGTTTGATGCCAAATACATAAGACCCGTTATTGTAAGCAACAAAAACCTTTTCTTTTCTTGAGGATTTCGGTTTCTAGATTTTGAAAATGAGAACAAGATCGAGTTTAAACTTATTTTTTCGTTTATGTTCTAGATTGCTGTCGGATTAATGGTTTGTCAACAATCTGGAGGAATCAACGGAATAGGATTCTATGCAAGCCAAACCTTCGAAACTGCTGGTATGCTATCTCCGTTAAAGCGATGAATTTCGAGACTTTTTTTTCGCATCAAGATTCTCGCTCTCCATAAATTTATCGATAGATAACGTGAAGATTGTTGTTATGCACAGGATATTCGTCGGGCAAAGTTGGAACCATCCTTTATGCGTTAATTCAGGTTTGTTTATTCGAACCATATAACGATAACTCTCGAGAACGCCTTCGATTCATTTATTTCTCGTCTTGTTTAACGCGATCATCGTTCATACCAGATTCCCGTGACGATTATTGGCGTGATCTTGATGGATAAATCAGGAAGAAGGGCTCTTCTTCTGGTAAGAAATATCACTTTAGTTCTTGCGGACGTCCGCCATATTATGTCAAAAAGTATATTAACTGTTTTTTTCTACATTTCTATCAGGTATCTTCATCAGGGACTTTTCTTGGCTGTTTTCTTGCTGGAACTTCATTTTACTTCAAGGTTCATGCCTACTTGCTTTAATCTGAAAATGAATTCTTTTTGCTCATCTGTTCTAAAACATCAAGACTGACTTTAGTTTCAAATCGTATCCGAAACCAGGACCAAGGAATTTTCCTCGAGTGGGTCCCACTTCTCGCGGCCTCGGGCGTTTTGATATTCATAGCCGCGTTTTCAATCGGGATGGGAGCGGTACCTTGGTTGATCATGTCTGAGGTAACAGAATAAAAACTCGTTTTCTCATGTTCGGTACGACATTAGACTTTATTCTTTTTTTTCCCACCAAAATTGGTGGAACTGAAACCACGAGAGATGAGACAAGATTGGTATATTATTATACTGAGGTTGAATTCAGGGTAAACCACAAAAAAAACGGAAACTGAGCAACACCCTAGTAATCATTCGTTTATCTGATATGCACACGTGCGTAAACTGCATATCGGCATAGAAACCAGGAAACATTTTCAATTACTTTTATGCACATGTGCGTACCGACAAATAATGGTAACTAGGGGTGTGTTGAGTATGATATTTTTTTTGTGATTTTCTAATTTTGTTTATGGTTTTCCACATAACCTGAGTCTACAATACTAAATTATCTATATCAGATTGAAACCCTAAAACTTTGGCATAATGTTTTCACTCGCATACCATATTCTACCGTGTCCTATACCGTCCGCCTATCAAACGCACCCCAACAATGTAGTTAACGGGTTCTTTCTGGTTCACAGATATTTCCACTGCACATAAAAGGCGCGGCAGGGAGTCTCGTCGTGCTAGTGAATTGGTTGGGTGCTTGGGTGGTTTCGTACAGTTTCAACTTCCTCATCGTCTGGAGTCCTGCTGGTACGTATTCGACATCCTGCTGGTTTAGTCTCGCTTTGTTTAATTTGTTTCGGTTAAGGAAACCTGTTTCGTTCGTTTGCAGGTACGTTTTGGTTGTTTTCGGGATTTTGTGTAGCAACCGTTGTGTTCGTAGCGAAATTAGTTCCGGAAACGAAAGGAAAAAGCTTGGAAGAAATTCAAGCCTCCATCAACTCGTAATATTTTTTATGGTAGTAGTCGTAGGTAGATATTTAACACCGTAACGCCGAATTGGCAATTGCGGTTTGTTCGAGTCGTTTTAAAATTTTGCCTACTTCAGTTCAGGTAGTGTAATATGTTTAGATATAAATTGAATTCTTGTTTTTTCTACTATATTTATATGAAATACAAATTTGATGAGTCGTACGGCGGTTGGGTAGGTGTGTTATCGGTAAAAATCAACACTATCATTTATTTACTTGGTAAGATTTTTTAGTTAAAGAAATAGGTATCCTATGCAACAATTTACCCAGCAAATGTTTATATGAGATATTTTAAATCAAATGTGTTAAACAACGCGTTTGATTGTGTTTAAAATTCATATATTTCCAAAATTTTGTTTTTATGAAATATCAAACATTCATATGTTAACAAAATCACACGTATTGTTTGATCAAACGTTTTCGGCTTTTCATGTTTTTTATTTAAAAAAAAATAAAACAATGTTTTTTATTTAAAAAATAAAACAATTTAGAAAGAAATGTATATAAAAAGAAAGATCAAAATACATTTTCTAAATCTAAAGATATTAAATCTAATTATTTATAAATATTGTATTTAATAATAAATATATAATATATTTAATATACGGGGAAGGGGCTGGTCGAGGATAACAATAGCCCGCCCCTGTTTTGAAAGGAATCCTTGGCCCCATGGATACACTACGTTCTTCAATAGGACGAGTCTCATTCTCATGAGTCATGCCTGTGATTGGGATAGGCCCACTTATAACCGTTTAAAGGCTGAATATTAGGCCCAACATTTTTCGTTTGTTTATCTTATAACTGTGACAAAATTTGTGTTGTATAAGTAGATTGTTTGCTTTTTAAATATAAACTAAAATGATATCAGATATAATATCTGATCATGTAAACAAATTGAATAAGCTTACCACAACGTCGTCACCTTATGTCGTGGAAGTTAAGTTTAAGAACTATATCGAGACCCTTTTCAAATGTATCTTCTTAAGTTTTCATAAGCATTTCTCGGTCGGTGACGCCAACACATCGAGGAATCTCATGGATTACGTCAAATAGTCAATTGAATGGGTAAACAACTTTCTTATAGTCGTGTTGTTCTGGTATATTTATATGAAACGCGAATCTGATCTTTCATATTTTTGTTTCGATCTTTTGACCTTAGATAAGGACCAGTTCTTTTTGGACTGTTCGAGGACTGAATATTGGTCCCTATCGAAATCCGATTGAGTGTTTATTAAATTCGTCCCGAACCACAACGGAATATAAACAGTAATAGAAATAACCGTAAAGACGAAGCAGTGGTCACAAACAATTTTGATTTTGATTTTTGCGTTTTTCTTACACCATATGATTAAATGTGACAAATTTTCAAAATTATAAGTAGATCGTTTGGTTTTAAAATTTTCAAATTTTCAACTACACCTTGGTGTGTAGACGTCAAGTCTGAGAACAATATCGAGTTGCTTTTAGAGCGTATCTTTTTGAGGTTTCATAAACACCTATTAGTTGGTGAGGCTAACACATCGGGAGATCTCTTGGAATACGTCAAACCGTTAATTGATAGGGGAACGGAAATCATTTGGACGCCCAATGGGGACCGCAAACAACTTTTTTGTCGTGTAATTTCAACAAATTTTATGGCAAATTATGTCTTTGTTTAAACAAAATAAAAGGGTCGTTTAAGAACATCTTGAAAAACCTTTTCTTTAAATAGAGATTTCGGAAATTATTTTGTTACAATAAATGCTTAAAATATTATTTTAAACGTTTCTACCAATAAAGCCGAATGTATTATTATCTTTTATAGATAAAAAAAATTAACACTATGTTCTCGAAAACTGAAACTACGATTTATTGGTTTTTAAGTAAGTACGTAACTCAACTAACGCCCGCTGGAACGCCCATGGATTTTATCATCAACTTGATGAACTAATTTCAAGAACGATACCTTCTACAGCTTGACCCACAGTAGTACTCCAGGTCCAATAGAAGCAAGCCTTACAGCCAATCTACCATTCTCAAAGATCTTTTAGAAAAAGAAAGAAAAGGAAAAGGAAATAAAATTATGTTGAATTTTCTAATATTTATAAAATTACGCATCTACCCATCAGTTACATTACTCTAGAAAATGAATAGGGTATATCTATACTATATTATAAATCATTTGACAAAAACTCTTAAAGCCACTTTTTTATGCGTAAAGTACTGTTTATTAATGCATATTATTTAAAACTCAAGATTGCAAGTAGATTGTGTGTAAGTACAACTTATTAAAACTTCATATCTGAATTCGTGTAACTAACTGCAGATAAATATAATCAAATACAGGATAAACATCTCATTTTAAATATAAAAAATCTAAAATATAATTAAGATAATTATTAAGTTCTAACAGAATACTTAAATATTATCTTT